GATGAATCTTCTGCAAAAAACAGCTGAATTGTACCACATGTATTTCATATAAATAACGTCAATTTATAAAGCGGGTCAGTACTTAGTATACACCCTTTATATCAAAGGCCTTCAGTATCAATTAATTCAGCAAATATATTGACCCAAAAATGTGGTCCCGGTCATTGTATTTGCTAAATAAATTCATAATGAAGGCCTCTGATATATTCTGAAGTATATAGGCTGAAAGAGCATCATTTTTATACAAAATGCGTGATCAAATAATAGTTTACCACTAAAGTTAACGAAACGGCAGGCAAATCGTTTACCGGAACCAGAAAAATTTTTTGGTCCCGGTGCTCATCTCTAAATTTAAGTGATGCAAAATTTGTTTTAGAAATCACCTGCAAATGTTACTAACGATTTAATATTACGAAGACTATTCGAGATGATAGTAGAAAATTTAGATGAATTTGTTTATTATCCTATACCAAAAAATATGGAATACATGAGATGTCAACTAACCAGAGATAATCAAGGTTTAGATAAATATTTTCTTCCAACATATTATTTACATGCTGAACGAAACGATGGAAAAAAGGTAGTTTCCGATTGGAAATGAACAAGTACATTGTCAATTTTTCAACTTTCAGTATCTTATATTGACTGCTCGTTGTAAACTACGGAAATATGGTACAGCAAGTTATGTACTAGCGACAGATATTACAAATACACTGAAAGATGAAGAACCATTTATAGGAAAATTTCGGTAAATAGCATCTTCAATTTATGAACATATTTTGTAGTTTTACTTCTGTTTTTTAGTGGAAATAATATGCAAGATAGTGAATTTGTTGTTTATGACAATGGTGTAAATCCAAAGCATATAAAAAATAACCAAGAACAACTTCGACGACGACGACGACAAATGGCCGCTACCATTTATGTATGAACATTTTCATGTTTTCTTTTTAATGAAAAATATATGTATTCACTTTATGTAGGAAACAAAACTTCTGGGTTTGAAAGGATCAAGAAAAATGACTGTTCTTATTCCAAATATGACTGAAAACGATCAACGCATTGAAGTTCAACCTCAAAATGTAAACATATATTTATTATATAAAATGAGTCACGAAAATTGTTTCACTATATCGTCTATTCAAGGAGAAAGAAGGTTTAATTGAAAGATGGAAACATTCAGAGATGAACAATATTTTAGAATTACATTCTATCATTACAGAATCAAATTCAAATAATTTAAAATTTAATGATAGACAAGAGTTAAAAGAATCAACAAAAAATTTTCAAATTGTATGGACTAAGGATAGTACTCAGGGTAAGACTTCATCGTGATATATAAATTCTATCGTGAACATGATCTTTGAAATCATTAACGCTTCTCCCTTTCTCTTCTGAACGTCAAACATGACGTCATGTTAACTTGAAGTCAAAAAATGTTCATTTTGAGTCGGGGAAAGTTGCCTTTTCGTATTAACTCAGAAGATTTTCTATTTTTAACGAGGGATAGTGCCAAAAAACTTAGAAAAAATTTTGAAACTAATATTATTTTCTGATGGAATCCATCATTTTGTTTGAAAACTTTTCCTAAACTTTTTGGCAGTATTCCTCGTGAAAAATAGAAAATCTTCTGGGTTATCGCGTGTGCTGAATACGAAACAGCACTTTTTCGTGACTCTAAATAAACTTTATTTTTCTGTCAACTCATGTTTTCTAAAGGGTTTTCTATCACAAAAACTTCAAGGGACATACAACGTACGCACATGTCCATGAAATTCTCCATCACCGAAAAGAAAGCAACTAAGACATTGTAATTAGTTTAATATAGCCGTCGATTCTTTCTTTTTTCCTAGCAAATGATATTTTCCAATTTACACTAAGGTCGTGCATTGTTGTGAAAACACTTCCCTTCATTGCATGGTAAGGATTTTAGAGACGTATTCAATACAAGTGGCTAGTGGCTCATAGTGTCTTCGATTTTGCGTTGCTATCTAAACATTTTTTGCCATAATTAGATCATAAGTTTTAAAATTTTCACTTTCTTCATTGCTCAAGCAATTTCTCCAAAATATTAGGAATCAAACTCTAGTAATCTCTAGCCACGCGTGTGTCTGTGCACAATCCCCCACTTTAATAGAAGACCACCTGATCTTCTATTTTGTCAAAATCTAAAGGGTGGTCTTCTACTAAATTTTGTCGCCTGCTAGTCCAACGGTAACCCGCACATACTTGAAGCCCATTCTCTATTAGAGAACATTTTGGCGAAAT